ATTTTTAGGAATTAGATTGAAATTTATATTTCCAATGTATTTATTGAAGTTTTACTTTTCTTTCGTCTCTTTGTTTTCTTTCATTATTTTCTTTTCACAATGCTAAGCATGATTAAATTCATGCTTAGCTAAACTCCACTTAGCCTAAAACTTTGTGAAGCTCAATTCTAAATCGTTAGAATTGAGTCTCGTTCTTCATAACTTTGGACGACATTCTTCGTTTCTCTGAAAATTAGGAGTAGCAATTGGTCATTCCTTTAAAGTTACTACATCTTCAATCCAAAAAGACGTTGTTGGCTTGAAGGTTGTTTTGAAATACAGTTGGAAAGACGAATTAGTTTATCGTAATTCGAGTTCGATTCTCAAAGAGACGCCATAACCCGAGTTGGGCTCTTCCAGCACTCAAAGTTGTCTTGGTGCTAACATCGATAAACATGATTAATCCAGAAAAGACCGAATTTCGGAGATAGTCTCGGTTAACCCGATAGAAGAGTTAGCTACGAATGTTGGGCTTCGTTGACTGTAATTGGCGTGCATCAAGGAGAGAAAATCTATTTTGATGATCGATTGAAATTGAGGCTAAGCAAAACCTAAGGTTATATCATCTCTATTGAATTCTTCTATTTTATTTACTTTCACCTCATTTTCCATTTTCCATTTATTATTTATTTTTATTATTTTATTACTTTTACTATTTATAAACCCCCTATTTTTTACCTTTACAGTAAAACCCAATGATCGAAACAAGCAAATTATTCAGACTTCCTTAGTCATTGTGGATGAACCTCTATTTCTCTATGCTACTTTTATTATTTATTTGAGATTAAATTATTTATTTATTTGAAAATTCGATGTTTATCAGGTAATGATTAACCGTTAACGATTAGTTGTTATTAACAATTCGCAACCTATTACAAATTTCCATTTTACATATTCAATGCTTCTTTGAGTATAATGAAAGTACTTCTCAAATAAATATTATATTAAAATTTTCAAGAAAAAAATTATTTAATTAGAAAGGTTTTAAACACAAACTCTATACTTTTTTCTTTTGAAAAGTACATATTGATACTATAATAATTAATACATTTACATATTCATACTACATACTATTGTATTAGTTTAAAGTTAAAACACAACACAAAATATGTCATCATCAATCATATTGTAGAGTTCTAACGCATAATGCAAGGCTAATACACTATCAAAGTTTCAAAGACAAATCTTTAATAAAAATAAAGCAACAATTATACTCAAAATTCGTAATTATAACCATTAATTGTCATTTTCAAAAACTTGATTAACTAAAATTATTTAATCTCAATCGTTCGATTAATCAATATATAAAATATAACGATTATATTAATTAACGATTACATGTTAATCTGCTCACCCTTAGGGTGTGTTTGGTTCACAGAATGTAAGATTACCAGTGGGAATGTAAGATTACCAGGGAATAGGATTACTGGGAATGTTGTATTTTGTGTTTGGTTGGTTTAGCAGGAATGTAAGATTACCGTGTTTGGTTAAAGGAATAAAAGATTATTGGAATGTATATTTGACCAACTTGTCCTTATTATATATTTGTTTTTTAATAAGTTGGAAAATATTTATATATTTTCTTTAAAAAATTTAATTTCATAAAATTTATATTTTTTTTACAAAATTGAAAATATAAAAGGTTTAATCTAAGGGTAAAATTTTATTTTAACCCCTAAACTTTATACAAAATTTTAATTATAGATTTTTTTTGTAAATCTAAAATAATTTAAGGATAAATTTGTAATTTAGCCTTCGTAGAATTTTTATTATTCAATGACAGAATAAGGATATTTTTAAAAAAAACAAAAATTTTAAGGGCATTTTAGTCCAAAACGTCGGTAATCCAACAATACCTAAGGAAAGGGAGGTAATGACATTCCCGATAATATACCCCAAAAAATCCACTATTGGTAATGTAAGATTACCGAGAATGACATTTCCGGCCAACCAAACGGAGGAATGTGGATTCCATTCTCATGAGAATCTCACGTTCCCCCAACCAAACAAACCCTTAGGTGGCGTTTGGTTCGCTGGAATGTTTATGAGGGAATTGAAATATGTGAATGAATTGAAATATGTAGGAATTGGAATCCAATTCCATATTCTGTTTGGTTGGCAGGAAATGGAATTAGAATCCAATTCCATATTCTGTTTGGTTCGCAGACATGTCAGATGAATTTGATTTTAGTAATGTAAAATGACAGAATTGTCCTTCTTGTTTTTTTGCTTTATTTTAGTTTATTTTAGAACTTACATGTAGTAATATATTATAAAAAATTAAAAAATATTAAATTTTCATTTTATTGATTGGTTATTCATTTCAATAAATTATAAAAACCATGCTAATAAACATTATAAGTTAAAATCATCGCAATTAAAATATGTTAATAAGTTACCAAAAGATAGAGCAATATTTCGATACATTCCAATCGGAGTATGTTAATTAGTTACCAAAAAATATAACAAAAACTATTTTTATTCAATATATGAATTAGAAACTCGACCCGACACGACTCAAAATAATAAAAAAATTATTTTTATTCAATAAAAACATTGACTTAATTGAAAAAAATTATATATAGAGGGGGTATTATTGTAATTATTCCTAAATATATAAGGTAAAATTATATATTTTTTCGGGTCGGTCCAGTTTTTTTACCCTAAACCCGAACCCGACATGACCTAACCCGAATATCACACTTCAAAAAACCCAACCCGACTCGACCCGAATATCACACTTAAAAAACCCGACCCGACCTGAACAAAATAAAGTTTCATCCGACCCGACCCGAAATAATAATAAAAAAATTATTTAATAAAAACAGTGACTTAATCCGACCCGACCCGAATTATATATATTTTCGGGTTGGTCCGGTTTTTTTCACCCTAAACCCGAGCCCGACCCGACCTGAACAAAAAAAAGTTTCATCCGACCCGACCCGAATATATGAATTAGAAATCCGGACCGACCCGACCCGAAATAATAAAAAATTATTTTTATTTAATAAAAACAGTGACTTAATCCAACCCGACCCGAATTATATATATTTTCGGGTCGGTCCGGTTTTTTTCACCCTAAACCCGACCCGAATATCACACTTAAAAAACCCGACCCGAACAAAATAAAGTTTCATCCGACCTGACCTGAATATATGAATTAGAAATCCAACTCGACCCGACCCGAAATAATAAAAAATTATTTTTATTTTAAAAAAACAGTGACTTAATCCGACCCGAATATCACACTTAAAAAAACCCGATCCGACCCGACCAAAATAAAGTTTCACCCGACCCGGCCCGAATATATGAATTAGAAACCCCCCGACCCGAAATAATAAAAAAATATTTTTATTCAATATATGAATAAGTTACTAAAAGATTGATGAGGGTAGTATGATCAATCATTTGATGGAATTGAATTCCATCAGATATTCAAATTATCTTGAAAAACTTGAACCAAACATGAGAAAGTGGTGGAATTAAATTTCAATTCTCATCAATTTCAAAGGATTCCATCCAACCAAACGCCCCCTTATTGTTATTGTTAATTGGCAGTACGGTTTCTCTATCTGAATTGTTGCATACCGCTATAGTGGAACCTCTAAAATTGTTGGAATAGGCAATTTCTTAATTACACTGTACATTTTATACAACAGACTCCATTTACAAAAGAGGTGAAAGTCAGATGCTTATTTATTGACTTTAAGGATGATCTTTTTGAAAAGACAATAAGGAATTGTCATGCCTCATGTCTATTGTGGACCATTAACCAACAATTGAATGCTTTTGATTCTAAAACAACACCATTTCCTTTTTTTTTTTTTTAAATTTATCTCATTTCAAGTAAAGAGAATCGGTCAAGTGTTGTATACTCCTTGAAATGAACACTTTTGGGTTTTACTTGTTATTTTTTAGGGTAAAGTACACATATGATCCTCCGACTACATAATATTACTTTATTGAATCATTTGACTATTAAAAGTTACAATTTGCGGTGGCGGAGCCACAGCTTAAAAAGAATGGGCATGTGCCCACTCTGAAATCCGAATTTTCTTCGATTAATTACTTATTTTTCTGATGGTGTCCACTTTGAAATTTTTTGTGCCCACCCTGATATATGAGTTTTCTTTGATTAGTTACTTATTATACGGACGATGCCAACCTTAAAATTTTATTTATACCCATCCCATTTAAAATTGTATATTGTTAACATATGTGTGTCGTCCCTAAAAAGTATTTTTGGTTCCACCATTGGTCCCCTGACTATAGGACGTTACTTTTTTATGTCCCCTGAGTAATAAAAGTTACAAAATGGTCACCCGACTATTCATTGTGTTCCAAACTCGTCCTTTTTGTTAAAATTGATGGCAATTTGAGTTAGACATTAACTTGCTAACTGAGATATGATATAATATGAACTCCGGATCTGAAACGACTATCACACCTCAGTCAGTAGGTTAATGTCTAGCTCAAACTACCAAAAATTTTTTAACGAAAAAGGACGAGTTTGGAACACGATGAATAGTCAGATGACCATTTTGTAATTTTTAATAGTCGAGGGACTTAAAAAACAATGTCCTATAGTTAGAGTATTGTTTTGTAACTCATAATCTATGTTGCACTGATACGGATATAGGGACAGATACAGGAACATGGACGGAAAACGATAATTTTTAAAATTATAGGATACAGGGACGACAAGGATAAAGTAAATTTAAAATTATAAATATATATAAAAAATCATAAATAAAGTCAAATATCAAGACTCAAACTACAATATTAAATTTAGAATAGTAAAATTCATAAACAAATCACAATATTAAAATATCAAATTTCAAGATTGATGTACAAACTAATTAAGTGACTAATGGGACAATTTACCCAAAATTATTTCTCGTGCATTTCGCCCAATCCTTGGTTACCCTTTTTCCTTTTGTTTAATCAAAATGTTTTTGGCTTACTGTGAAAAAAAGTAAAGAAAAATTTTGGTGATACTGGAAAATGTTATCAATCAAAAGCCCTAACCCTAGCTCCGCCGTGGAGCCATTGAAGAGACCGATCACTTGTGCTTCTGCTTCTCCAGTTACACTTTGTTTGCCGCCTTTCCTACGGCTCAGACCGCCTTCTAACAGAGTCTCTCTCGCCGCTCCCAATGAATTGGCTGTCGGTTTTCGTTCATTCCATTCACGGCTTCACTTCAATCACTCCGTCGTCGCTTTCGCAGCTTCCCACGAGAAATCAGTGAGTTCTGATTCAAATAAATGATTTCTACTTCCTTTGAACTTACAAGTTTTCATTTGTTTTACTTTGTGATTATTGAAAATGGTATTAAGAAAATGTCCCTTTCTTCCTAATTTTATTTGTTTAGTTATTGGTTTAGAAGCATTCAGAACTAGAAGTAGAGAGAAAAGGATGGAGTGGGGAGCGAAGAAGAATCAAATGAAGCATGGAAGCAAGCTTTAGAGACATTCAAAGAACAAGCTTTGAAGATGCAAAGCGTATCCATGGAAGCTTACGAAATTCATTCCAAGAAAGATTTGACCATCCCTGGATTCGGTCAGCCGTACCTGCCATCATGGCACGTCCCCGGGCCGTACTCCGGCCGTCCACGTACCCGAAATGTATCGAGTATTTAAAACGGGGCTCCTTTGCCGTCCCCGTGCTTCATAGCTCATAATAATCCGAGGATTCAATAAAACAATATTTTATAGGCGAAAACCATTTGTGTATTTTATCCTCTTGCTTTTTTTTAGTATTAAAGGAGAAAATTTATCAGTTAAAATCCATATACGCAATTAATAAATTTTAAAAGGAGAAACTGTGGACGGATTATTATTGAATCTGATAGTAAGTAGGCTATCGCTGTGCTTCAACGCCAGCCTAGAGTTAATGGTATTTCTATGATGGTACCACATATTGGAGTCTTCAGTTCAGTTATGTCCCCCAAGAATGTAATCGGGTTGCCGATGGTTTGACGTGTTTAGCCTGGACTCTCTTTGCAAATGTTCAACGGTATCTGGAGCCGCCGGTAGGAGTTTTGAATCATGTCAATATGGATGCCCAAGGCTTGAGGAATGATTAAGAGCCTAGTTCTTCCCACGGTATTAAGAAAAAAGATTAGATAACAATCAAATCTAAAGAAAATACAATCCAAAAGATATTTAAATACATTAAGATGTACGAAATTATATCACTAATCGATATTCATTAATTGATCGAGGGATCAAAGATATTCATGTTATTTCACCTTATGTGTGTTCAAATCCTAATATTTACTTTGAAAATGAAATATTTTTTTTATTTATGAAAAGCAGATCACAAATAAAAGAATATAAAAAAATATTTAAATCATAAAAAAATTTAAATTTTTTAAAAATGCGATCACGTTACAATATTCCGTCGATCCATTCTTAAATAGAAGATATGAAAACACATCATGATCTTTCTTTTTCTTTTAATACTTTACATCCCACCAAACAAAATTCTAACGCCAAGTACGGAGTTGAAATACTTGAGTAGTGTTTCTAGAACCTAGTTTGATTCGGTTTTCAAAGTCAATTTCCGGCCAACAGAGTTGTATGACCACGTAATTTGTTTATTAATTTAATTGGACGGTGGTCATACTTAATTCAAATATTTCAAAGGTAAACATAGGGCGAGTAAAATTCGACTCGAGTAGAAAAGTTAACTTTTTTTATTTTACTCGATTCGAAAAAATTAGACTCGAATTGAGCTCGAATTGTAATTTCATAAACTCAACTCGATTCAAATTTCAAATTCAATTCGAGTTGTAAAATACAACTCGAATAACTCGAAATTTGTAGTAATTAGTAGATTGATTTTCAAATTTAAGTCGAAGTTTGAGTTGAGTCCATCGACTTTATATGGTATATGTAAATCACATATGAAAAAATATATAATATATATATATATGATTATAAAATATCATTTAAATTAGAATTAAATAATTTCATAATATTATAAATATTTATAATATTATTTAAACAGAAACTCGAAAATTTGACTCGACTCGAATTTTATAAAACCAACTCGACTCGAAAGAATTCCAAATAAAATCTGAATTATAAAATATAGGAATCGTCAACTATAATAACTCAAAATTTTTTTATTTGGCTCGATCAAATGCTCACCCTAGGTAAACATATATTTCCGATCAACCAATTTACTTTTAAATAAATGATCGGTGGCGACTCCAATCCATTTTCTTATGTCGAAACCCAATTCTGTGCCCAACCGAAAGACGGTTCCGACAATAAGCTCACAACAGTGGCGGCTGTCGGAGCTCGAAACCTGATAGGAAAACCATAGAGAGGAAGCGTAGATATGACATGAAAACTTTGTGCTCTAAGCTCACTTCTCTTATTCCTCATCACATCTTCAAACTCTCCAAGGTATTTTCCTCTCTTTCTCATCACTCTTTCAGTGGTGCTACTACTTGATGACAGATTTCTCTCGGTTGCTTATTTTGGTTTATTTCCCTTCGTTTTAAAATTTCTTTATCACCTTGTATATTATAAAGGCATGCATCATACTATTTCTTAATGATTAGAGATCAACCTTTTTTAATCATCAATTAAAATGATTGATTTTTGGGTGTAAATGAACCGAGATTAAATGAATAAGGCTCAATTCGTATTTGTTTGTTTATTTTTGAGGTATTCATGTCCGATTCATTTAATGCTTCTCAACATATTTATTTAATGTCCGCGAACATAAACGAGCTTATAAACGAATTTTTTTGTGAACATAAACGAACCAAATACACCTCTGTTCGTGTTCCTTCGTTTAGCGTTTGTCAACATGCTCATCTAACGTTCACGAACATAAATCAACCTGTTCGTGAACATAAACGAACCGAACACACCTCTTTTCCTATTCATTCGTTTATTAAATAAACATAAAATTTTTGTTCATACTCATTTATAATAAACAAACGATTCATCAACCGTTTTATTCTGTTAGACCCCTAATTTTCAATGTAATTTCGTGTTGGAGGTATCAAGTTTTGATGTGCCCTAACAGGGTGCACCAGTCTATCCTTCCGACAGCATACAAACCCATATTTCTCAGTCTTTTAGTATCAACTTCTAATGTGTTAAGGTATATAGTTCTATACATCATTAGTGAAGAAGATGATAACATGTTTCTTTGAGGTGTTTCGAAGGTAACTTCAATATTGATCTGTATTAAAATTACTGAGTAGTATCAGAATAATTGTTCAAGTGATAGTATATTTTATGAAAACTATAAGTTTCAATAAATATATATAATATGATAGTATAACAACTTACGAGATATTAAGCGAGACTAATTGCATTATCATGTCCTATGATAAGGGTTTATAACTGCTTTAGTTAAGGAGACATTTTAGAGTTTCTTGGGTGTTATTAGTTCGTGTTTTGCAGGAAACTGTATCCCAACCAGACCAGCTTGATCTTGCAGCTGCCTACCTAAAACACTTGACAGAAAGGATAGAGAAACTAAAGAAGACAAAAGACGAAGTGATGAAGTCGGTCGAACCAAGCGGTCGCGTAACGGAGACTGCGGCGGCTCCGGTCGGTTTAAGTTCGCCGGTGGTCGAATTAAGGGATTTGGGTTCGAGCATTGAATTGGTTTTGATAACCGGATTGAATAGGAACTTCAGGCTATATCAAGTTATTAGCATTCTTGAACAAGAAGGGGCTGAAGTTGTAAGTGCAAGCTTTTCTACTGTGGGTGGCAAGATTTTTCACTCTCTTCATGCTCAGGTGACCAACTGATACCATCATTTTATTATTCACACGCACACACATATATTGTATAATATTTCATTTCTTGAATTAATGCAGGCTAAACTTTCTAGAGTTGGTGTTGAGACTACAAGGGTGTGCCAGAGACTGCAAGAACTGATTCGGTAGATATGAAGACGTGGTTTTATTAGATTAAGGGCATGAAGACCAACGGGATGGATAGGGTGGGTGGATGTACCTCGTGATGGATATGGTTATTACACGTATAATATTATTATCACATTATTATATCGTCTTTGTTATCAAGATCTTCTATAAAGTTAATCGTCTCAACACACACGTCAACCAATGCCACACAAGGGCAACCAAAGTAGCTCGACTACTCACTATCGAACATATCATAATCAAGTGAGGTCATCCCCTCATTCAACATAATCTCAATCGTTATCTCATCTAGAACATTATGCAAGGGCTTATTAGTCTTTTAGTATTTCACACCCTAAAGGCATCAAGATACATCGCTACTCACTTGTTAGGTTATTGCTACCCCGTCATTCGGTTCGAGGTTGTTTCTTTAGTAACAACTCCTCGTTCTCATCACACTTCCTATCGGTCGACCCTTGAACTAGTAGGGCAACTTGCTCATCTTTGATTATAGGTGTTCCTGAGGTACTTAATTTCCTTTATCTCGCTATCCACTACGTTCATCGTCTCACTCATTGAAACATCCATTGTAATGATCATTCGTTCGCAATTATTCGACACATGTTCAATGGGATATTCAAAGTATTATACCTAATATGGTTACTTCTGCCGTAACCAACTCCTATGAGTGTTTCTAGGCAACTTTTTCTATTTATGTCCCTCACGGACTATGTCCCACCATCACGGATCCTTCTTAACTCTTATAGACTTTAACAAAGTTGAATCTAACCATCCGAAATGAGTAGTATCAATACTCTACATGCAGTATCGATACTCCTAGGTCAAGTATTGATACTCCCTTGATTATCGATACCAAAAATAACTTTTATTTGCTAAAAATCATCTCACTATAAATACTGAGACCCTCAGTATCGATATCAGGCTTGTAGTATCGATACTTCTCCTTAGAGTATTGATAACCGTCGTTTTGCTATCAAAATAATTTTGGCTTCTTAAATAGAAAGGAAAATGTAGTATAGAGAAGCAGGGTCGATTCATAGGGACTATGATGTTTCTGATTTAGTAAAATTGTTTCTTGATTTTAGGAGGAGATAGAATTCTAGGTAAAGTTGAAAAGATTTAATTAAATAAAATAGATAATAATAAATAAAAGGGAAAATAATAATATTAAAATAAAAAAGGGGTTTTAAAATGTTGTTTTTAAAATAAAAGATAAGAATTAAATAAAAGAAATAATTAAATAAATAATGGAAAGAGATTGAGATAAATAGAAACTTATTGTGAAAGCAATCTCAGACTTCAGCTTTGCCTCAAATTCCTTGGATCATCGAAACAGATTTTTACTTCAAGATTCATGTTTGCTTACAAGGGCAATTCTTTGCTGCCAATTCGGATTGTGTCGTTTCAACAATAACTGATTTCGATCTCAGTTTCCTCTTAGCAAACAATTTTGCTAACTGTGTTCTCAGGAAATTGAATATGCTTCAATAAGCAAATCCTTCTTCAAACGTTAACCATAACTGTAACACCCCCAACCCATATCCGACCCGGATTCGAGTCCGATGTGTCACATTGACTTTTCAAAGCATTTTCCTTTATAAACTGATTAAAATTTGAATTCACATTTCAAATAAGATGAATATTTTACATTAATTAAATCAATTAGTTTACAAAACATATCAGAGCATATTCAACTCAATTAATTAGTACATGCCAACTATATTCCAATAAACAAAATACATCTAATCATTTTTTTAATTTTTTGATCCGAAATTTGTAAGGGGGATGCTGACCTATCTTGTTCTTCTTCGTTTCTCTTCTCGGTTTCCGGAACCTACGTGTGAAACACTCACACGCTAAGTCTATAACTTAGTGAGGCATACTAAAACATATACTATAAACTTAATCACTTAACAATACAAAACATTTTATAGGCTCATGTCATACCACTCATATAATATTACATATAACAAAATGCAGACATACACATATACTATACTTATCATTATCAATAACTTATCATATTCCTTATTACTACTAACATCATTATCATTATCATTATCATTATCATTATCATTATCATTATCATTATCATTATCATTATCATTATCATTATCATTATCATATCATATATATAACCTTATTATCATTAGTCCCTTTTTAACATATAAACTTATACTTATCATTTATGCACAACATATAACACATTTTGCAAGAGCACAAATAGTATCACACAAGATATATTTATGTTATCTCTTTTATTAGCCCATGTATACTCGTGAGAACTAAAGATATGCGAGTACATTGAGGTTGTGCACATATGCTGTCACCATAGCTTGTATAAGTCACACTAAGTGGCATGTGAAATATGTCTCGAAGGACCTATGTATATGTCCCAAAGGACCACTATCCATATGTTCCGAAGAACATAGGTAACTGTCCATATGTCCCTAAGGACATAGGTAAACAATCCATATATCTCGAAAGACATAGGTAACCCTCGACTCTTGGCATGCTAACTATACCTATAGCTCTCATACACATAACATGGGCATTATCTTTACACTTATCACATATTCACTTGTTCATATCATGTAAGCTCACAGCTTCGTATCATATCGTTCACATCTCAAGACTATCTCTTGTAATCATGTAATCATTGCATTTATTCTCATATAACTTATTGTCACATAAATCATATATCACATAGCTTATATTAACTTCCCAAGTCATTTCATATTATTTGTCACATATATCATATCCCATAACTTATCTTTGATGTTCATATAATTATATGTTTTCTTCATATAACATCATATATATATCCTCTATGTTCATTCACTTAATCTCTTATATTCATATATCACATAATCATACCATTCATTATGTCAATATCATATGACTTATGTAAACATATATATCACTTATATCAGTTCCTATATCCTATCACACTACCATATATTCATACAAAACATATCACACATACAATAACATATAACTCATACACTTCTAACAAACACATGTTCATGTTCATGAATTCATGCATAATAATATAGGAAATAGACTTGTCGCAAGTCTTATTTCCATTAAACATCATATACTATCTACTATGCACTCACCTGGCCTCACTAGTCAATATCGTTCTCTTATCTTTTCTTCAATGCTCAATACTTGTCGACTGATATGGACTTGCTTTCGATTGATATCTACATAATCATACCTTTATACATATCAGTATTCCAAATAATATACTCTGATTTCTCATTTCTTAAACTGAAAGAAAAACTACTTTCATTTCTTATTTAAGGTAAGTATCGGTACACTCTATAGTGTATCGGTACATTCCTAAACATGTATATCGATAAACTACCTATGTATTGATACACAAATTACATTCTAAAGTTTTCCTGTTCAATGGGGTATCGATACACTCTTTAATGTATCGGTACCCTTTGAACGCCTTCCCAGATTTTACTCTTGATATATCGGTACCTATTGAATGTGTACCGATACAAACTATCCCAGAAATCAATTTTAAGCACAAAAATTCACTATTTTCAGCTTAATTGCTTCTATAATCCCCTTTCTTATACTAAACTCAAATATACTCACTTAGACTCATTAATACTCATTATCACATCTTTAATCTCAAAATCCTATCTTCTATATGTAATTTCAAGAATTACACCAAATTTGCAACATGTTCTAAATCCACTTCTAACACTTCATATCTTTTAATTAGACTCTTGACAAGTCAAATTCATCATTAGAACTTCAAAAACCTCTTTATATCAAAAGTTCATTCCTAAACACTTAATAGAATTTCCTTTTTATATCTTTATTCTTGACGTTTTAAGCTTATACAAGATTTCCCTAAGCTTATATAACAACCAAGGAATAAAACCCAATTTAAAAATCTAAGAATTAATCAGCTGAAATTAACTCACCTATTACTCTTGAAGTCCACGGCTGAAGAAGAAGAAGAAAGTTTATGGAGAAATCTCTCATTTTTCCTCTTAATCTCACGTTTATATAGCCAATAAAAGAAAGATAAAAATCTTTCTTGTCAAATGACCATTTTACCTTCTTTCTTTCCATATTTACTAATCAATCCTACTCACATAATTTCCAATTAAATCCTTGTACTTTTGACTTATTTCGAAATTGAGCACAAAGTTTCCAAAATTTACATTTTAGTCATTAGCCCTGATTTTGGGATGTTACAATAACAACATCCGGACCAATGTCGAAATCATTTTGATTTGAAAAGTAAGCTCAGAAAACAGAGAGAAAAATCCGAAGTGATTTAAGTACCTTACAATTCTCAAGCTTGGAATTGAGTGTTCACTTTAACCCTCGGCTTAAAAATAAATTAGCTAAACATGACCAAAATCATACTTAGCAATTGTTAAAAACGAAATTCTAAAAGAAAATAGGAAGATATGCGAAAACTAGAGAGAAAAAGAAGATTTTATTCTTAGATGTGAGAGATATGTTTCTAGGCTCACCCTTAGAGAGTATTTATAGCCTTCAAATTCCTAAAAACAAGCTAAAACATCTTAAATCTTAATTAAAACTCTTAAAACTATTTAAAATAAAATACCTAAACAAATATAAAATAAAATACTATTTAAAATATTATTCTAAATCCTAATTAAAATACTAAAACATATTTAAACTAAAATACAAAGATAAAATATAATATTTAAAATATTATCCTAAAACTTAATTAAAATATTAAAACCTATTTAAACTAAAATACCTAAAACAACGTTAAAAAATATTATCCTAAAACATGAGTTTAATTTAAATCTGAATTCCAAAAACGTGTGGACAATTCATTTATTCTTCTAGAAACGCTGACTGGATCTTCTAGAAGGTACTGACGTCATCGCCTCGTCGGATGTTTCATGCTCGAATTCATGCCCACTAGTTCAGCTTCGATTCCGAAAATTAAAAAACTGCAGAATTCCATCCTTTTAGTGCAATTTCCAAAATCTAACGTCCTGCACAGAAAATGAATGAAAA